CGTGGTGCACAAGGACCTGGCCACCCGCAACGTGCTGGTGGACGACAAGCTGAGCGTGAAGATCTCGGACCTGGGGCTGTTCCGCGAGGTGTACTCGGCCGACTACTACCAGCTGCTGGGCAGCGCGCTGCTGCCGGTGCGCTGGATGTCGCCTGAGGCCATCCTGTACGGCAAGTTCTCCGTGGACTCGGACATCTGGGCCTACGGTGTGGTCCTGTGGGAGGTGTTCAGCTACGGCCTGCAGCCCTACTGCGGGCACTCCAACCAGGACGTGGTGGAGCTGGTGCGCGGCCGGCAGCTGCTGCCCTGCCCCGACGACTGCCCCGCCTGGGTGTACGCCCTGATGGTTGAGTGCTGGAGCGAGTTCCCCGGCCGGCGGCCGCGCTTCAAGGACATCCACAGCCGGCTCCGCGCCTGGGGCGGCCTGTCCGCCTACACCAGCTCCGCGCAGACCTCGGGCGCCAGCAACGCCACGCAGACCAGCTCGCTGAGCACCAGCCCCGTCAGTGTCAGCAACGCCCGCTACGGGGTCCCCAAGCCCAAGGCTCCGCCCTTCCCGCAGCCGCAGTTCATCCCCGTGAAGGGCCCCATCCGGCCCCTGGGGCCCCCTCCACAGCTCTACATCCCCGTCAATGGCTACCAGCCCGTGCCGGCCTACGGGGCCTACCTGCCCAACTTCTACCCCGTCCAGATCCCCCTGCAGATGGCCCCGCAGCAGGTGCCTGCCCAGATGGTGCCCAAGCCCGGCTCGCACCACAGCGGCAGCGGCTCCACCAGCACCGGGTATGTGACCACCGCGCCTTCCAACACGTCAGTGGCCGAGCGCGCGGCGCTGCTGGCAGAGGGCGCGGAGGACGCGCGGGACGGCCCTGAGGACGGCGCCCAGGGCCCCGTGCCCGAGGCGGCGGAGGAGGAGGACGGCTCCGTCCCGGAGACCGAGCTGCTGGGCGACAGTGACCCTCTGCAGGTGGAGGAGGCCGAGGCCCAGCTGGAAGTCTGAGGGTCAGGACTGCGGGGCTCGCCGTGGGAAACTTCAGCCACTGAGAAGTGAGCCCCCAGCGCCCGCCCGGGGCTGGTTGGCGCCCCGCCAGGTGAAGTCACTCCGCCGCCTGCTCCGCCCAGAGCTGCGCTGTGGCCATCCTTGGGCTTTGAGCCTGTGGCACCGGGTGAACCGTGACGCCAGGTCGTCTGCATTTTCCCGGGGAGGGGTCGCGGGCATTGCCCGTGCTTTGAAGGGAACAGGTGGCGTTTGACCACCTGGTTGCATATGATCCAATGGTGCAAAACTTCGCGACAGGCCTGGGCAGGCAGCCGGCTGGTGGATGGAGGAGCTGCTTGCCGCTGCCCGCCGGTTTTAGCCCCTTCAGCCCCTAGAGTAGCGGGAACAGGGCGCTGCCCCCGCCAGGCCTGGTGAGCAAGGCTTCTGGAACCGGAGTCCCATTTTAAAACACAACGTGCCTTAAAAACACCAACGCGATGTTGTATTTTGTGAAGTGGCTTTAGTTGCCTCTGTGTGTGTGTGCCCGCTGTCCTGGCTTTCAGGGGAAGTGGCGCTGGGCCCGGAGGAAGCCATGTTGTGAGAGCACAGTGCTGTTGGTGTCCTCGGAACTTACAGACCTTCAGTGTAATTTATGTGGGTTTTGCAGGCTATTTTCATTGCAGTATTTTGACCTTAAAATGAGTTAGTAATATAACTGTTTACTTTATCCACCTGGGATGCCACCTGATTGTATTTGGCTGCTGTCTGTAGCGATGTGAGAGGTCCGTTCATTTCAGAGCTCCTGTGAGAAGGCCTGCAGGCACCGCAAACCGGCACAGCTGGTGTAGCCAGGCCGGCGGGCACCGCAGACCGGCACAGCTGGTGGACCTAGGCCGGCGGGCACCGCACTGGCACAGCTGGTGGAGCCAGGCCAGCGGGCACCATGGACCAGCACAGCTGGTGGAGCCAGGCCAGCGAGCACCATGGACCGGCACAGCTGGTGGAGCCAGGCCAGCGGGCACCGCGGACCGGCACAGCGCCGCCTGTGACTCCACGCCGGTGTAGCCAGTGAAGGACAGCCACGCTTCCGGCTCGGCAGGCTGTGAGGATGTCAGGCAGCTGGTAGTGCTGGGAGGGGGATGCCCACCGGTGGCAATGTGGGCTGAGCCCTTTGCAGCCTCGGGGGGCTGGCCTGCAACCTCGAATTCATGTGAATGTGGATGTATGTTGGTAAATAAATGATGGAAACAAGTTCTGTTGCTTTCTCTGTGAAGGTTTTGGGGGTGAATTACTTGGTGACCTGAAGTAGGTCTTTGGTTTTAAACTTATTCCCTCCTGAGGTCCCAGGACCCCTTTTCAGACCTGGAGCCTGGTTCTCACCAGCGCCCTGGGGCGTGAGGCCATGGGGGACGGCCTCCTTCACCACCGCCGGGGCGGTCAGCTGAGCCGAGCACACCTGGGCCAGGGTCACCTGGGGTCAGGGGCTCCAGG